GCCTGGGATCCAAACCTGCGAACTCCAGGCCGCCACAGCGGAGCGCGCGCACTTAACTGCTTGCACCACCAGGTCGGCCCCCGGATGGGTTTTTTTAGGTATCCAGTCGAGTTTCCTCCACATCCAGCTTTGGTTCATCTGTCTCTGGAGTGCCCACGCCCCCATTCCCAACACCCACTAAGAGGTTCTCTTTTACTTATATTACATGTAAGTAACAAACAATAACAGCAATGAAGCGACCCAAACCATTAAAGAATAACTGTGATTCGAGCCTGAGGATACACTGATGACCAGGCCACTCTACAAAATCGAACAATACATATTATAGAAAGCAGGTTTTTCCTAGCCGATAAATACTTGTGGGGAGAATCTATGACATTTTCCCCTACTTCTTACAAAAGTAATCCATATTTTTTTGATAGAAAAATCTATAGTATCATTTTAAGCTACCTTCTAAAATAGAGCTTATTTTTGGCATATGTTAAATTAATAAAGCAGGACACAAAATTCTATTGTTTACATGATCACAACTATGTAAAAAATAAATGCACAGGAAAAATACTGGTAGAAAATATACCAAAATTTAATAGTTGCTGCTTTTGGGTAGGAGAATCACAGGGATGTTTTTCTTTTTTTCTACTCTTTCTAAGATTTCTAATTTTTCTAGTATGAGCATTTATTACTTTTATAATTTAAAAAGATTATTTTTTCCTAAAGGCTTATTTAGCATGATATTATATTTAAAATCGTCTCTGGGGGCTGGCCCAGTGGTGTAGCGGTTAAGTTTGCACACTCTGCTTTGGCGGCCAGGGGTTCACGGGTTCGGATCCCAGGCACCAACCTACAAACTGCTTGTCAGACCATGCTGTGGTGGCGTCCCATATAAAGTAGAGGACGATGGGCACGGATGTTAGCCCAGGGCCAATCTTCCTCAGCAAAAAGAGGAGGATTGACAACAGATGTTAGCTCAGGGCTGATCTTCCCCAAAAAATCTTCACTCGCACTTGCACCAAGCCCACTCTCTGCCAGCCAAACCTGGAACAGCAGATCCGGTGCTGCTTCCTGTCCAAAGCTTCAAGGTCCCAGGACGTCCCAAGCAAGGAGGATGATGCCAGCCAATTCCACCACCATCCCCTCTAGTGTCTCCCTCTACCTCTGCGCCACCTTCCCCCTGGGGAAAGTTAGAGCACGCTCACACAGCTCTTGTTTTAACATGTCGATTTCACGAGTCCTTCTCACGAGTCCTTCATTTCTTCCATCCAAATACTCATACAACAAACAGCTTTAGCCAAGTAAGTTTCAAGTCACCTTTAGTCCAATGCAGACCATGGCTGACAAGTTATTGCGAGGAAATCAGCTTCAGCGTAAGTGTCACTAAATCGAGTCTGTCACACACAACCTCACTCGCACTCTTGAATATCACCTGCTGAGAGAGCAGGAGTGTCCCCTTCCAGGAGCTTCTGTAATTCTCCTCAGACACCGGCACTCTTGTTTCTCAGTCCTCAAGCATGAACTTAACTTTCCCTGGAAATCTTCATTTCTAACCAGGCACATGGCTTTATTTTTTCAGATTCGACATTTCACAAGCAGAGTTTGCAAGACAGAATCTAATCAAGCCGTTTCCAGCTTTGCTAATTCAGTGATGGTTTATGCAGTGGATTCCGACAGGGCAGCCGAAACTCACCCACCCCACGATCTCACAGAGGCTGTCCCCTTGTTCCTGCTAGACGTTCACTTCCCTTCTCCTTGGCACAGCACAAGCTGCCCACTATTGAGCCTTTATTTCTTAATCATATTTAGTCCCGTATATTTGAGCTAAATAGACCCTTTCTTCCTTCTTCATTTCTGTAGTGACCAACTTCATCTTCCTTCGCTCCTTCCATTTCCTCAAGCGCTCTGCCCTCTCTCTCTCCTCTGCCTGCCTACACTGAGAAGGAACCACAGGCTGAGGAGTCCCACTCTCCACTGTGGCAGCAACAGAACCGGCTCCCAGCCCTCCAACTGATATTCTCCCGTTTGAGCAAAATGCCAGGCCCTTCAGTATCCACCGAGTGGGGCCATGGCTCGTGGACTCATCAGAAATGTAATCTTTTTTTTTTTTTTTGTGAGGAGGATCAGCCCTGAGCTAACATCTGTGCTGATCCTCCTCTTTTTGCTGAGGAAGACCGGCTCTGAGCTAACATCTATTGCCAATCCTCCTCGTTTTTTCTCCCCAAAGCCCCAGTAGATAGTTGTATGTCATAGTTGAGCATCATTCTAGTTGCTGTATGTGGGATGCAGCCTCAGCACGGCTGGAGAAGCGGTGTGTCGGTGCACGCCCGGGATCCCAACCCGGGCCACCAGTAGCGGAGTGCGCACTTAACCGCTAAGCCACGGGGCCGGCCCCAGAAATGTAATCTTACTGTCACTACTCGCTGAAATGGTCCAGGGCCACTGGCTTGGATGAGCTTACCAGCTTTTACCCACCTGAGATATTATTCCTCCAATCAGCGTCCTTTACAGGATATAAACAAATGGCCAGTATGATTCTTGATGCTCTGATGGGTCAACAACACAAAGGGAACTTCCAGTGCAATAAATTAAATAAAATTTAAAAGTCCTTTCCTCAGTCACACACCACACGCTCAGTAGATGGATGCGGCTCCTGGCTGCCCTACCGAACAGAGCAGACACTGAACCTGTCCACCATCACCGCGAGCTCTGTCGGAACAGCACTGATGTTACTTACGAGATCACACTAGACTCACATTACACCATTTTGAATAATAAAAGTCAGCAAAGACAGAGACCTCAACCCCACATCTACCAGCATTTCCTTAGAGACTGAGCAGAATATAAGCACATATAAAATAACAAAACAGCTGGGACGCAGCCTTGGGGAAAAGCCGTTTCCAGTTCCAGCCTCCAGCTTGCCATCTGACTGTTGCTCACTGCTTGCTGTCCCCCTCTCCATCTCAGAAGGTTCTCTTAAAATCAATTATCATTTTCTTTTCATAAAGTCATGTGACTTTTCTTAATCCAAAAAGTTTAAGTGAACAAAAAAGCAAATGTTATAAACTATCATGACCGCAATAAAACAATAATAATAAAAAAAGCAAATGTTAGCAAAAGGAACAATCATTCATGGCCCTTTCAGAAAACACTAAGGTGCGACACATTTGTCACTCTCAAATTCTTCATTCCAGTCCTCCTCAGACACAATGATGTTACTGATAAACACTCAGAGTAGGTCAGCCCACGACAATTTCCCTAACACGTCTTCCTACCCAGCAAGGATACCAGTTTGAGAATGGAGTGAGTTTTTAAAGCCTGAAATTAAAATAATCCTGCTATTTAATACTTTTTAACAGCCAATACTCCTCCCCCGGCAGCAATTTGTCTTGGTAAACATTCTTCAAAGCTGACATTGCTGGGAGCGTGATACAATTTGTAGACGAGACATCCTGTGTGTGTGAGCGACAGCTCTGCTCCTGGCCGCAGTGCTCACAACAGTCATCTATATGGAGATGTTTGCTTTCATTTCTTCTTCCTCTTCCCCACTTCTGGAAGTCAATTATTGCTCTTACCTTGTACAGCAGAAATATTAAAGGCATGCCTATTGCTTGGTACGGTCCAATTTTACTAGAACATCAGGCAGGGAGAGGCAGAAACCCTCTGGCCTGTGGCCAAGCTACCAGCAGCACAGCCAACCGACGCTGAGGCTGTTCCTCCGTGCTCTGCTTTATTCACGAGTTCCCGACCTTGTAACTGCTCTGTGGCGTGCCTGCCAAACCTGCCAGCAACCCTCCCCTGTCCTCCAGTGAGCCCCCTGCCTCCCAGGCTCCACAGGCCCACCCACCTTCACTATCAAACTCATCCTGGGTGTTGTCTTGGTTTTCCCTGATCTCACACCAGCCTGAGCACTGGGCTGCCGCCAGCACCACCACCCCCTCGCCCCCTGCAACTTGCGAGACTGCTCCGCCCATGTGCCTTCCAGGTGTGTGAGCGGCCTCAGCTTCGCAGAGCCTGAAGAAACCAACTGGGAAGGTTCATGCTCATCTGCTTCCCACTTATCAGCCCCGAGGTCCTCAGGGACCACCCGGGTGCCCAGAAGAGGCATCGGCCGATAGCCCAGCCTCTGTTTGTCCTTGAACCCCACCAGCTTCACCAGGCTCTAACTCAAAAGGGAAGTCAGCCCCAACCAGCCCTGAAGAACTAGAAAACGCCCAGGGAGGAGACTGGGGAGGTACCCTCAGAGAGTTGTGAATTACAACCCTTGTGAGCAGATGAGCATTCCCAGGTCTATTGGAGGAAATACCTTCACCTTGCCAAGGGAGCTCCTGGTTCCTATGAAAGGACACCCACATCAGACCTCTGCCCCAAGGCAAGCATCTGGTCTTTTCCTGAGGCCAGGGGCTACGATCACATAGGCTCAGCTCCAAGGGGCGCCACTGGGTATCAAAACAGGATAGTGGCAAGCCTGGGGATGTGGGGCTGGGCAGAATAAAGTGATGAGTCTCAATTCCACCCCTGACTCTTCACCAGGGGCCTCAGGGGCTTCACCGGAAACTGCAGCTGGTCACGCCTGCCAGTAATACTTCACAGGAACAATAAGGTAACATGACAAATCCTAAGCCAGCATCTGGCTCGGACTAAAACTGCTCAGGAAAAGCTTTGATTGCTTTCTTTGTTTTGATTTGTTTTGTTTGTTAGATTGTAAGTGGAGACTCAACCCCTGAAGCTGGCTTTAAAAAAGTCACCTGACTTTACGCAAAGAAAATGATAATTAATTTTAAAAGAACCTTCTGAGATAAAGAAGGGGGCAGCAAGCAGTGAGCGATAGTCGGAGGGTAAGCTGGCTGATGCTGCAGAGAAAATGTACCTGGGTGGGTTTCAAGAAATAGACCAGGCTCCCAGGAAAGAAGATGTTATTTTAAAATGTATTTTTTTTCTTGTCTTCTGTATACCTGGGTCTGCGATACCCTTGTGAGTGCAGGAGAAAGCAATATTTTGGAACATACCCAAATCTAGACTGTCCTGGTCTTCATGTTCCCTCAGCTGAACCACCACGCTTTTCGCACACTGGAAAAGATAAAAGCAGGTGGGTTTTTAAAACATTACATGCTACACTAATGTTTGTTTATTTTTGTAAACTAGAAAAACAACTTCAGAAAGCATCAGTAAAGACATGTTCCATGTATCCCCACATGTAAACAGAACACTAGTCTTGTACTTAATTAAGAGCCAAAAATAAGGAAAGGATCTGTCCAAGCTGGAACACGCCTGGAAGCTATCCACAGTTATTTTATTCTCAGTGAACACCTCCCAGGTTTATTCTCGCAATCGCATGGTTGGCAAACATCTGTAGATAGCATCTTCAAGTACAAATTTGTTTTGGAAAATGTATTCAATCACATACAACTACAACCCAGAAAGACAGCTAGGATTGGTCATAAAAAGCAAAGATTGAAAACTCAATAAAGGAAACAATTTCAAGTTATTCCGAATGTGACTTGGGGCACATCCCTGCGGGTTTGGTTTTTGTTGGGTAGGTGGGGGGTTCTATTTTTATTACCACTAGATCTTCACTTCTACTTCGACTCTGGAGAGAAGGGCAAAGAAGACAGACAGGCAGGGAATCGTTACCTTTACATCCTCCTCCTCAGGTGATGATCTGCCGGACACCAAATCCTTAATCTCTGAAAAAGGAATAATTCTCATCAGGATCTGCTGAAAGGAGTTTTCGTTAAAAAAAAAAAAAAGGAGAAGGGAAAAAAAGGAAGCAGATGACAAATATAAATGAGTTGCCCAGCAGCCAGCTGCGTGGGGCTTGGTTTTTAGATTAGGCTTCTTAAAAACCAGCTCTCCGCAGAGTGTCTGACAACGGACTGCCTACGCTCGGGTATTATTTGTGTGGACCAAGATGTAAACAAGCCCAGGAGGTCTCACAGGAAACCCCGGGGAAAAAACAATCACCAAATAAATAAATACCCTATATCCAGAAGGATGGCTGTTCCCTGACCAAAGGCTCTTTAAAATTGCACAGATTCTAAGGATGTGACTCGTACCCACCTGAGGAAATAAATCCACACACCTATTTCCTCAATACTGCAGATTACATATATGTTTCAAAAGATGTAATTCACTCCAGCTGAGGTCTGGCCTTTCCTCGCGCATCGCGGGAAGCCAAGAAGACCAGCCCCGGGCTCCAACCTCCGACAGTGCCAGGCTGAGCTCAACAAGCCCCAGGCTCGCCGTGCCCTCTTTCTCAATAAAGGCTTTCCTGGAAACATCAGTGGTCAGGATGTTCTGGGGCGAACAGGAAGGTTCATTTAAGGGGTATTTTTCTCTGTGTCCTGACTGATTGAGTCTCTTCCCAAATGCTCAGTTGCCCGTAAACAGGAGCCACTGTTGTCAAAATAACCACCAAAAGCAGATTTGGGCCTGGGGAAAATCAGTGTTGGGCAGATGGCTAAAAACCTTTCCCCTGAATGTGTATTAACACACAAGATTGTGGGCCCAGGCCCGCCTCTGGACCCTCAGCCTCCCTGCCCCAGGGCCCTCCTTGTTTCCCCAGCAGCTGCATTAACCAGACGCTCCCTGTTCCCCTTTGCCACTCCTATTAATTGATGCCACCTCAGCCCCCAAACCTCCAAGTGGATTTATTCAAGCTCTTCTTACCACCAGGGTGTTCACCTACGTCTCTGCTTAGAAAAAGTATAATAAGGTTTTCATGTATGTGGCTTCTCACGACGAGTCATAAGGCAAGGATGGAGCAGAAAAGTCGACAATCCCATCGTCATGAGGTTTTTTTAACACTCTGCATAACAATAACTCTGAATTTGCTTTATATCCATAAGTCAATTAATAAGATATCTGCGCTCCACAACAGTGTATTGCTCTTGAATAACATACTGCATATTAGCTCTACACTGAAAAGTGAAAAGGTAAATAGCCTTAGTTTCGTATGGTCATGTCAACTCACCTCGACAGGGAATAGGGAGGGACAAGGTGCTGGCTGACACCCAACCTGGGCAGCCTCTGTTCCCCGGCCTCTCTGCCTACCTTTAAATGCACACCCCACACAAGGCCTCCAGGAGGCAGCAGAGTAACATGGCCAGTGATTTGAGCGTCAAGATTGACCAACTCACCCTTCAAAAGCCTGCTGTTCAAGTGCCCAAGTCCAAAACACTGAGTTAAGATAAAGCTTTTCATCCCACTGCATAGAAGCAGGAAATTGATGTGAAGCACCTACCATGGTGTTTACCACGTTATAGGAGCATAGCAGGGGTTTTGTTTTGAAACACGCATACCCAAACCTGAAAAATTAGGTAAGTGGGGAAGATACCACCAAGGTGCTAAAAAAGAAGGGAAGGGAACCAGAACCAAAGTTTCAACAGACACGTCTGCACAGACATCTAGAGAGTCACACACATTTTTATTTTGCCCATTATGGCATATTCCTTTAAAGCCATTTCGGACCATATGCTCTCAAAGGATGATGATTCCACATTTATAAAGAATTCTGTACCTACAGCATTTATTGAGAATAGTACACATTTTATTCAAGATTGCTAACGAAGGAGGCTCTGTGGTCTGGTAAGCCAAGTGCAACAACAAAGGATGTACTCACTCTGGTGATACGCTCAGATCTCAGCCTCCTGCCCGCCTCAAAAAGCTCGTCTATGTACATTGCCAGTGTACACTTTTCCTTATAGTCTAATGCAATTTTGTTTCATTTTCAAATACTACAAACTATACTAAAATAGAAAAATGTTCATAAAATTTCTACTTCATCATTTTTTAAATAACATTAAATTTATAAAACCTTTATCCTAAAATCATTAAAAATATTTGTGATCATGTGTAGAATCAGGATAATTATGTATCTTTAACTAATCTAGGGCTATATAGATTAGAACTGTATCTTAGAGCTTTTAAAGTACTTGGCCCTCATTCTACCACAGTTTAATTAAATTGCTCCAGGCAAGTTTCTACTAAATTACGAGGATCCTTTTACATCCAGCCGCTGTACCACCAACTGCACAGTGCAATCAAACCAGCCATTGCTATAGCAACCTTCTGCAGATAATGTTATCAGCAACTCCAAGCTATTCTGTTTTAAAGGCCGATTAATCTTACCTTCAAGGCCCACCCAGAACTAAGGATTACCCCTCTAAAGGAGACTTACCAAACTTAATAAACATGTTTTTTATTGCCGCACTATAATGGAATGAGAAATAATCTCTAATGTTCATGTTTACCAGTGACACTGCACCAGCAAACAGGTCTCTTGACTGCAAGACTTACTAAAACCTACAAAACATTACATGTATTCTGAATCTCTGACATGGAGGTTTCACAGACAGCATTTTCTACTTCTTTGACCAAAGAATCCTTATTTTTCAGAGCATCTTCCAAGACTGGTGTTCCATATAATGCTCTGTAGGAAATCCTAGGGTGAGAGACCAAATAAGGACGAAGGCAGAAAGCGACAAAGAGTCAGTTGGTGGATTAATACTAATGATTAGCTTATTAACAAATACTGACGATTAGCTTATTAACAAATACTGATGATTAGCTTATTAATTGCAGCATATTAACAACGAGATGACTTTTTGGCCATTTAATTCCTTTGGAATAAGTTCCCATCATTCTGGGAGTACAATTACAATCATGAAATTACAGAAACAATTGGTTCATAGACAACAATAAAACCATTTATCACACTAACAGAAATAGCAAAGTTAATTTTCAGGCTAAAGTTATGATAGTCTTTTAATCAAAGACAGCTATAGGTATAAGCTTAGAGCTTCCCCCCTCCCACTGCCCCAGGAGGAACAGAAGAGCATGATCCATTAAGGGTCTTCTAGTATATCTTAAAGGGAAAGTTTGCTTTTGGAGTTTAAAAAAAAGCTCAAATGGGGGCCAGCCCCCTGGCGTAGCGGTTAAGTGCGCACGCTCCGCTGCTGGCAGCCAGGGTTTGGACCCGGGCGTACACCGAGGCACCGCGTGTCACGTCATGCTGTGGCGGCGTCCCATATAAAGTGGAGGAAGATAGGCATAGATGTTAGCCCAGAGCCAGTCTTTCTGAGCAAAAAGAGAAGGATTGGCATGGATGTTAGCTGAGGGCTGATCTTTCTCACAAAAAAAATAAAAAAGCTCAAATGTTTTGTTTTTCCAGTTGAGTCTCCTCCAGCCTCATGAACGGACAAACACTGACTATTTGCACTTTGATTGAACACCGCCATCTGCTGGAATGTGCACGCAGTTTCAAATACGTCCTCCAAGGGTGGACAAATAAAAGCATTGCCCAGAAGGTTTACAAAATACACACCTTAATTATTTGCAATTAGAGGACTTTCTGTCCAAATGTTTTTACTTATTGGTTGAGTGTCTTCAGTCCAACCGGCAGCCAGGTGTATTAACTCTGCTGCCCCCCTCCCCGAGGTCCAGCAAACTCAACCTGGCTAAAACTGAGTACATTTTTTGTCACGAACCTGCTTCCTAGAAGGCCTGTCCCATGCAGGGACACACCAGGAAGGGAGGACTCGCCCTCGACCCTCACCGCTGACACCCACGTGACACCCTACGCCTTCAGGACAGTACTCATCTGTCCCCACCTCTCCAGTCTCATTACACCACTACGGTGCAGACCCTCTCCTGTATTACTTTCAGCAGCCCTCTGGCCCCTCCAATCCATTCTCCATGCTTGCACAGAGCAAACTTTCTAAGATAATAATCTAATTTGCTTAACACAGCTCCCAGAGCTGTCAGCGTCGAGCTCCAGTTCCTTGTCTCATGTACAAGCCCTCCCATCTGCCTCGCTCTCAGCCTATGTTCCTGGCGTGCGCACACACACACAAGCATGCATGCACGCACACGTGCGCGTGCGCACACACACACACCCACCCCACCCCCATACTCCAGGACTGCAAAATAACCTGCATTTCCTCCAACGCATCGTCTGGGTTAGGATTCTGTACTGCATATGTGTCCACTGTCTAGAATTCATTTCCCTCCATTAGATCACAGCTCCAGGGTCACCTTCTCCAGGAAGTTCTCCCTGCCCACTCCACCGTCACGCTCCAGAGTTCTCATAGTGCTCTTTGCATATGACTCCTGCAGCGCTTATCATAATGTGCTGGGACAGCTTGTCTTTCTGTCCCAATCCCCAACTGTCAGCCCCTTCAGGGTGTGAACTTGGAATTTAAGTATGTATTTCAACCTCACTTCATTCTAAATTAGTTTGAAGGTGGATTACAAGGGAGGAAAAATATATAAGACAATAAAGTAAAACTCAGAAGTTGATTCAAAAAAAAAAAAAGGAAAAGCAAAAGGGTGAAGGCTTACATAAGAAAAAAGGGTAATACAAAAACGCAGCCAGTAGGACCCTACACATTCGCAATTGGCAGACCAGAAATTTAGCTCCAAGCTTTTTATCAGCCAACTAGAAGAAACCTGATCAGCTTCCCTGACAGCAGGAAAGGCAATTGAAACACCCAGGAGAAGCCAAAGTTCCCAACACAAGACCAGAAAGAGGTTTCTCCCACAGATCTTCAAGGAGGAAGCGTGAAGTTACCCACCACCTCCTTGGGCGGAAGGGCAAGCCACAGCTCCCTCAGCACAGCCAGCACATCACCCATGGGGGGAACACTGAGGGCAGCTCCACAGGGCTTCCCAGCAGGTGCAGGCTGGGTAGCAAGCTCAGCTGGGCAGACTTAACCCAGGAGCGAGTGCAATGTGGATGGGCCACACAGAAACATCCCTTCTCCAAGACTACTTTTTAACACACACGGGGCCAAAGAGTTTAAGATGATATTACCTGATAAGTACCTGGAATGCAACTATTCTATGGTGCCACTTAAAAGCAGAATCAAAGGTAGCAATCAGCTGTTGACGCTGGTGCTTAGGGACAAGGATTTTCTCCTATTTTTCCTCCCTAACCCCAGCATCCAGCACCGTGGTTCTCAGCTCAGTCAAACTATTGTCCCTTTACATTAACAGGTATTTCATAATGCCTCTTCTGCTTTCCTGAAATTAATAGATAACATAACCCTACCCCCAAATATACATAACCCTATTCTAGCATAGAATTTAAAAAAATAAAAATCAATGTATACTCTAAAATGTAACACAAAAGAAAAGTAACTGATAAGATAATCTGTATTTCAATATATAAAACCATTGCCCTAAGGACCTTAGAAGACATAGTGATGTGGTCAGATTCTTGTAAACTATCAAGCTCTGGAAAAAAGACAAAACAAAATCAGAATCCATTCCAGACAAGAAATACAGGCATATTCAAGAACAGAGGTAAGAATGCTCACTTTGAAACTCGCATTTACTGCTAGGACTTGCTAACAGATCAGACTTATTTGCACAGGGAAAAGGGGCAAGAACCTGAATTGAAGCAGATAGAGATCGCACGCCCAGATGAACTGCCGAGTTGGAGGAGACGTGGAAGGACGACCCTCCTACAATGAGCTGGGTGTTACGAACGAGTACGGCATCAACAAGAGTCCCTGTGTTGGATGTGGACCAGAGCAGTGACGATGTATTATAAACATATACCTCTCGTCAGGACTCCCACCTCGAGGAGATTTGTATATTCAGTCTCTGAAGCTCTGTCAGGACTGTGAACGGCTGAGCAGGACAACTTGGGTCAGGTGGGGCTGTTGGTACTCTGAAGACCATCCAGCATGCCCGCCTCCACCTCTACATGCCAGTGATGCTCCCCAACCCTCGTGACACAGAAACACTTTCACGGTCTCCATCCTCTGCAGGAGCCACTAGCCCAGTGCAGAGTAGTAGTTCCACAGAGGAGGAACAGCCAACAAGTGACTGACAAAGTGGAAGGAATAAACCGAACTCGAGAACAAGGAGAAGGATCTGTGTGTCAGGAGAGTGCCCTGAAGGTCAGGGGTGTGGCAGGACGCTGCCCAGGGCCTGGCAGATGGCTCTCAATTAACGCCAGGTGACCTCAAGTAGAAACACAGGTGACCTCGTTCGACGCTGTCCGAGGACCCAGGGCCTTGTACCCACAGCACTGATCCTGCCTCCGAGACCCTGGCTCCTGCTCTGCCCACCGCGCACTTCAACCACCAGTGAACTAGTCAGTCCTGAGCACTGTCTGGGTCCCTCAAGTGGGGAAGGAGCATGCATACCTTCTTCAGCTTCTGCAGCACTGGAGGGCATATCCAATCTTTCCTCTGGCCTGGCTTCTTGCTCTTCAAGAGCCTAAGACAGGAAGAAAAAAAAAAAGTACAGAAAACCATTTGAGGCTTCAGATATGCAACAAAGATGAAAACCACAATCAAGGATCTCGGAGCTGGGGCAGGCTAGAGGCAGGGTCTGGGAGCTCTGGACAGAGCGTGGGCAAAGCTGCTGGGAGAACAGCAGCCAGCACCTCAGGATGACGGGCGAGATGTAGGGGAGCCAAGGCAGGGGCCAAAACCATCCCTGCACTGGGCCTCAAGTGCTTCCCCAGGGCATGACCACCAGAAGGTTCTCAGGAACGCAATGCATGAACCAAAAAGAGAACAGAGAACAGAAAATCTTGCAAGAAAGGTTGAAAGAAAATCTTGAAATAAAAGGGTTAAAAAAAAAATCTTGCAAGAAAAGCAGAAAGAAGTTTTGCCGTTTTATCTGTCTGCCCACCTAGACCCACCCCCATCCACACCCTAAGACACAGGGATCTCGGGGCCCAGATGATGGGAGGGACCACCATCTCTGGAGAACTCAGGATGAGCATGGGTCTCGCTCAGGCTGGCCTCGCGGGTGCAGGCCCTCCCGCTGAGACCGGGTTGGGGAGCCTGAGAGGAGCCGCATTCTCGGAGCTCTCTGTATTTTCTTTTCAGATGGATTCCCCACAGCCAGTGAAAATGTGCAGAAACAGAAGGACGTGTTGAAGCACCAAATGGTAAAACAGCCCAAGACTCATCAGCACATGTTCCAAAACAAAGACAGGGGCAAACGTGGGCAGGCAACCCTGCGTTGGACAGAGCCCAGAATCCCCTGGGCATGTCAGTAAGCTCAGGACATCAAGTGCCTGCTTCTTGGGCTACTTCCTGAGCCCAGAGCAGAGAGAACACGAAAACATACACAATTTACGAAACCACCAAGGGGCAGGGATCAAGAGGTACCCAGTCACCTACCTTCCAGGGCTGTTAACGCCCCCAGCCTTCCCCCCAGGACGCAACATTCTCTTGTCTAGGGCCGGCCATGGACCTGATGGATGGACCAGAGCAGGTGTGTACTGTGTGCACTGAGGAGACAGCAGCCTGAGCGTCCAGGATGTGTGAGAGCCCGCCATGCAGGCTCAAGGCCAGGACAGCACCTGCTCCCCATGCTCACCTGGGGTCAGCCTCAACCCTGACACCCCGTCGTTCAACCAGGGCAACTGCCAAGCCTATGTGAAGAGGGCATCAGGCAGTGCCGGTGTCTGATTCCAAAACAAAACTTGAAATAAGAAAACACTCCTTTTTTGTAAATGGGGTGTATGAAAACAATTTTTATTCTCACGAGTAATTTTAGATGCAACTTTTAGAACATTTAACTTTCCTAGCAGCCTTATTAATTTTAGACAAGTTCTAGAACTAAATTCTCAGCATTCTGATTAACAGAAAAAGCTTTTTTATGAGGAGATAACTAAAACATGATTAAAAGGTATAGCTAAGATTTTGCCTATTTAATTTCCTAATATCTATCTTTACATTTTGGATATTTAGCACCAACCTGTAATTTTTTAACATTTAATATTTATTACAAATTATCAGCCCACCAGTGTCAGCTGTCACAGAGCGTGATAACATGAGACCTTTACAATTCCAAACAAGCAAGGCTTCTGAACGGGATCGCCTGAACCCCTTTTGCATACAGCAAAGCAAACTCAGGTTTCTGCAGCAAGGTTTTGTTGTTGTTGTTCTAGACGGCTAGATAACTCAAAACGTTCAAACCCTGAGACTGGAGGTGCCTCCTTGACAAGACAGGAGGGGCTGTGGTTCACTGAGAATAAATTAGCCCCTCAGATCAAAGTCATTGCTTACAGCTGTCATATAAAAATAGACTTATACATCTGAGATGCAATAAAGCATGAGTACTTTATGACTATACATAATCTCATATTTGTTACCCCAAATTGTAAAGCTCTAGTGTGGACAACTTACATAACAATCACCACCTGCTTACATTTAACAACATCTAACCCAGTAAGAAGCACCACAAAAAAAATTTAAACTCAAGAATACTATAGAAACATTTTGTCAGGCAGGTAAGAATTAATGACTTTGGACGTCGTAAAGGATCTCAGCCCTGTTCCCTTCCGGGTCTCCCTCCTCAGCACCCAGCCACACACCTCCAGAGAGAAGGACAAAAAAGCAATGCTGACACCCAGAACACAAGGCCTCCACCGTAGCTGACTCTTAGCAAGTGTTTTCCATAAAATGAATATCTCAGAAACTGGAAAGCAATCTCCATTTGGTCTTTTTTACTGTCAAGTTCACTACAATGAATTATTGAAGCATCTAGATTTATTCATCCTAAATCTTCCCCCAAGTCATCAGTATTATCTCAAATGTGTTACCAGAAATCACAAACCCAATCTAAGAAGTTGGAAGATTTTATAGTGAAGCTAATGTCTGATAATTTTTGCGATCCATATAGAGCATGCCCTACCCTTTCTGGGAATTTTGTCACCAGGTGCCATGCTGTGGCCTGAGTGTCCCTTCTAGGAACACACCTGTTGCTGAGCTCTGCTGCACGGAGCTACAGGGAGCAGAGCTCATCCTGAGCAATGCTGCTCGCAAGGCCAACCCTCCGCCCAGAGGGAACAGCCACCCCTGGGGGCCTGGGTGAGAAGCCACAGAGGCAGCTGAAGGCTTAGTATCTTTAAAGGGCAAGTGTCCCTAAGCAACATAAGGAAATACCATACCGTATGCCAGAAAATTATACACTAAATTTCCTAAAACCCAACAAAGAGTAGTCCATACTCTGAAGAGCAGGTTTCATTTTAATTGTTTACATAAAATCCTCTATGGAGTAAGCCAATAATAATCTTTATTTGATATATAATGTCTTTTGCTAAATCTTTAGTTTAATTTCATGAAGCAAACATTTTACAAAAGCCAAAATTGTGATAAATGACAGTATCAGTTTTCTAAACTGACTGTTCACTCTGTAAAGCCTATACAGTCACGAAAGCTGTGCCTTATTCAATGAGTGTGCCTGAGAACCCGGGGTGGCAGGGGGTGTCACAGGACCTGGTGACTGAATCCATTATCCCCCTGAGCACCGTCAACTGCACTGACTCAAGCCCTTTTACTCAATATAACATTCTGCTTCGTAATAATTAAAAGATGTAAATATTCCTTATATTCTTCCAGATTTCACAGAAAAATAATAATGATGCAGATGAACTATTTTAAACCCTGAGGCAGGCATGCTATAATAGCATTCAAAGCTGCTGTTTGGGCCATGGGGAGGTGGGAAAACCTCTCTGAGAAAGCGCTGGTTTTAAATCCCAGTCCCATTCAAGAAGAATCTGCACCCTGGGACAAATGCTTAACTACATCGAAGCCACAAAAAAGCCCACAAGTAGATATTACACATGTAAAACGACCTTAAACGCAACTGCTTTCGGTAAGAATTATAGATTAGAAAATATCCAGTATTAGCACATTAAAACCCAGCACTGGTGGGGCTGGCTCACGAAAAGGAAACAAGAATATTATACAAATTATTTTCTACTGCCAAATGTTATATAATCATCTTTATTCTACTGCTGTAGACAGTTTCCATGCCATGTCCCCCAAGGTCCCATTAGAAAAGAGAGCGCTACCTCCAAAAATACTGTTCCCAAAACGAATTGCTGCCTGCACTCTCAAGGGGCGTGAGTTATTGTGTACCAGAATAACTGAGCACAAACCTTCATGAGAAAGGCTCTATCCCAAAAATATTTCCTGAAGAGTTTAATGTCTGCCTCCAGCAAGTGCTCGGCTGTGTGGTGAAGCGTCAGGGTCAGGGTCTCTGATGAGTGAACGTACCGCAGGGCGGCGTCTTCGCTGAGCTGCACGCGGGAGAAGCCCGGGGAACGTCTGCCCTGGAAACTGAAGCGTCACAAATCAAAACCACTCACAGCTTCAGAGACACCCACCCCGAGACCCCAGGACCCTCAGTGCCCCACCTTACAAATCCAACCAGCAAAAGCATCCTTGAAAGCCACCTGGTGACAATACCTAAGATCAGTAAACAGATCCCAATAAAGCCATCTTTCTTTCTCCACCTAGAGATGTCGACTGAAAAGCCATTCACATATATGACATACTTCAAAGGTTTATATAAATAATGAAACTACTGACTTTTAAATACAGTACTTCACCTTAATATTTCATTCTCCTTTTAATCTGAAAAGATGCCTCTTCCTTTATTGGGGCCACATGGAGAACAAATTAGCTGGCAGCCAACAGTTTATTAGGTGATTACAATGGAAAACAGATATGATCTCCAGGGAAGTGCTGAGGTTTGGATGTCACAAACAAGTGAGATATTCCTAACACGCTGGTCCACTGCTGTAAATCATTTTCTCATGTAAATTAAAACATGCATAAATTTGATCATGTGGTAGTCTTGAATACACTCGTAAACAAAGGAACAATATCCCCAAACTCATAAGCTTATTTTCTGTTCTGTTTTGGCTAAGAACAATTGCACATTTATTAGCCATATGTAGGCTTCGTGGTTGGTGACACAATATTCTGGATGACTTATAAGGTCATGCAACAGCAACAGTAAAGAAGCCCCAGGAGGAAAACGTCAGTGCCTCAGACAACAGCTACCTCAGCACGCTGTCACATCCCACAAATTGCTCCCAGATTCCCCACTTCACAGAACTAGCTCAATGCCTCTTTCGTCTTCTTCTATGGCCTAATTTCGTTAATGAATGTTTGTTTTACAAAAATATAGCATACTTCCAATCAAATAAATGTCATCTTCATCATATGGAGTGACAAAAAGAGATCCATAAACATCCCAAACTTGTACTCTAAGATTTAGGGCATCTCAAACTCTTGACACTAATTACTGGCAGGGACTCCGGAATCTTCCAGAAAACTCCCCATGCCAACAACAAACCACTAAGGTGAATGGACTCTGAGCCTGAGTGATAAGATCATTGTTATTAATTTAGAAAATGGAAGCTCCATCATAGAGTAAGAATTTAGCTTATAGTCTATTTCTAATCCCATCCATGAATGGATTTATTAGAGGTGTAAACTTTTGAAAACATATAATATCTTCTGGTCTTGGACAGTAGAAAGATACAAAGCTATAGAAGATGAAGAAGCCAGTCTCCAGGACCTCAGTGTGATACGGAACTATCCACAATGACTAAGTCAAAGGAAGCAGTCCTGCCTTGCCCCTTTTAGCCAAGAAAATAGGGTCATATTAGAACAAAGAAAAGGGCAATTCCTTTTGGATGGGCTATTCTCTTGGTTGATGGTCATTTGACCAAATGAGAAAAAAACAAACAGAAAGCTCTGACTTTTGCTCCAACATCCACTTATGCACCATATAACCATAAATTAATCACACTGAGTTCCATGAGCCAAGCAAGAAGAGCCAGTCCATTCAGACACACCATGTAACAATGCTCTGACAATACTTAATATTTATGTAGTACTTTGTAATGTTCAATGTACTTTCCCATTTATCTATTTTTTTCCACATGTTGTCAAGAAAATCACTATATATGAATCCTCCTTTCAGAAGAATAATGACCAATCTGAACCATTCCAAGTAACAAACAATACATTCATTATTCATTGAAAGTGTTGATATCATCAACATAGAGAACTTTACAGTTGACAAATTACTTGCTTTACATTATTTCACTAGATCCTAATAACCATGAGCTACATGGTATCTTACGGTTTGTCTGTTACTCACTGATTCAACAAAACTTTATATTCTTTCAAGGAACGTCATCTGCTGAACGCCCCCCTAGAAATACTGTAATGGGTAAAACAGAAATAGTTTCAGCCCTCAGATGATTTAGGAGGGAGACATATGAAACAGATGGTCACTATATATATAAAATTCTAAATTAAGATTAATATTGTGAATCATAATTTTAATCAAAATCACTATTGTGAATTAATCATAATCATAAAAGGCCATAACGTAGAAGAAGGCCTCTCTGAAGAAATGACATTTAAACTAAAACCTGAAAAATAAGTAGGGGTCAGGCTATAAGTTTCCCAACCTTTTTTCTTCTTATAGCCCCTATGGAGCCTTTTGAGACATGTTTTCCCTAACTCCTTCTCCCCCATGAAATGTTAATATCAAATATATCTGTATATCTGTTTATGTACTGTACGTATATCTGTACTTTATATATGGGAACTAACGGTAAAACGTAAGCCAACATTAGCTCGTGGTTTGGTTACTTCCATTTTTCCATAATGCTTGGCCGACTTTATAGAAACAGATTAAGAGAGAAACTATCAAGTAGCAAACTCACTTTGTGATGTCTTCAACCAGCTTCGAGTGTCCGCCACGTAAAGCTAAGTCTAACGGCGTGGCACCCTCTTCGTTGGGTAAAGCCAAGGCCTGGACTCCCCCAGGGAGACACAAGAGGAACTGGGAAAGCTTAGCCAGGCCCCATCTCACAGCCAGATGTAGGAGAGACTCTCTGTGTAGAGAAACTGGAAAGAAAGAAAAACGTATGATATTAGCTCCTCCTTTTACAAAGTTTGTTTTATACATTTTATCTCAGAGACCATGTATTTAGACATATAAGAATGTTGAAGCTGGAAGGAAAGCATCTAATCCAAACACCTCATTTTACAGATGTGAAAAGGTCAAGTGATTTGTCCAAGGTCAGGCGGCCGTAGGTGCTACAGCCAGGCCCACTCATTGCTGGTACAACGTCCTTTCCACCCACCGTGGTGCAAGTTCGCACCACCTTTCACTCCCGTTCAGCAAAGTCATCCATGGAACACAAGTGCCAAGACCGTCCTTTGGAAGCAGACACTGTCCATTTCTAAGGTGTCCTTTAAGGAGATGCTGCCACTCCAGCAGGGCAGGCTAAGACCGTCAAGGAGCCTCTGTTCCCACCCTTCATCCTCAGAGATGCTCCTCCCCGATGAGAAGCTGGGACAGAAATGGGCTTCACACGTCTAGAAACTTGAGGCCATGGTCTTTTCCAACTTCACGGTGGTGATCTCATTCATCTATTATATCCCTGGGACTATTTCAGTGTTGCCAAAGCCACCCCAAGGCATAGCTTAGAAAGCTCGGCCTGTGCCTTTTCGTGTGCCCTGATAGAGGGCTCTGAGTTGGTCTGTCGGGCTTTTCACTGCGGTGTCCACCACTCTACATTCTGGTGGTTTCCTGACTATATCATCTTACAGCCCCTTGACGTTTTTTACTGCTGACACCTAACATACTATCTGGCAAACTGAAGGCATTCAGTATTGTGGAGTGGAGTGGCAACTGACTGTTAAAGTCTCAATTATTTGTGTATGTTTAAATTGCCTAGGTCGTATAGAGTTTATACACCTGTATTTCTACCGCAACAACCCAGTGCCTGGAACACAGCTAGCCCATGATCAACATTACATTGGATATACGTAAAAGAAGAAATTTGCCTACATTAAAAAAATCTAGGCCCATGAACTCCACAGACACACCGTAAAACAAGCCTAATCTTAAACTGAACATGAAAATCTAACAATCAAGATCTGTTGCAACAAGCATGCAGTGAGAATTTAAGTTACACACTCTCCAGTTAAGTAATGTTATTGACTATTTGTGATGTGAAAGAGACCCAGACAACGCTGCACCCACGGGAATGCGAGGCCGAGAGGGTAGGGACCTTCCATCCTCACACAGCGCTCCATAAACATTGGCTTATTGAGTGAATGAATAAATGACCAACGGCTCTCTCCCTGGTGAGGACCCATGAAAGTCAGCTTTTAACACAGGACTGTAGCTGCCATTTGGAGCATCTATCACACTTAGTTCTGCCTCTGATCCCTCTTGACTAAAATCTGAGAACAGAAACTATGTACTCCCACACAGCTTGGACACTGAAGACAACAACTACCTACTTCACACAGCTTACTGTTTACATTAATATGATTTTACTATTCCATTGTCTTCATTAGCATAAGTTCACTTTCCAAAAGACTCTTGCCCAGGCAAATGAATGACTGTCCATTATAGGAACTTCCTTCAAGACCCATCAATTCTTCAATAAGAAGCATCAACAGACAGTAGAAACCCTAAAACCAATGTTTAATTATTTTATCATGATCCTTACCCAATCCTCATCAAGCTCCCCTCCCTGCCCACCATCCCCCATCACTCCTCTCCTGCATTAAAAGACACTTATTAAGCCAAACTTCAAGTTCTCAATAAATTCCAGCCTTGCCTTTTCCCCTCCAAATGCTGCTAAGAGTCTGTGGAGGTGTTCTCCCTTACCACAGCAGGCCATACTCTCAGCCTTGTCTCATCAGCAGGGTGTGGTAATGATATTTGGGAAGCCAGCATTCAACAAAGCTCTCATTTGAAACAAATTAGAAGGAAATACTCCACTGAACATGGACGCAAAAGAAAACTGCTTAGTTTACATTTTTAATTAGTTTACACTGCTATTTCCATATCTAGATTAATGAACAATGAACACAAGGTCTATATTTCAAATATATAAATTAGCCCTCCCGGGGAAATGCCACTGACTTCACTGTGTATTTGCTCCACCATCCATCTGTGTGACACAGCACAGACCCCATTCCCCCACCCAGGAAAATGACATCTGAACTGCCAGAAAATCTAAAAACAGATAAGGGGGTGTACCCCCGCCAGACATTTGTTTAATATACTTGATATCTGTAAACAAGTTTTTGGTTATTAAAGAACTCATCTTTAATTATTTTATCCTTTATCTTTAGTTTTTTGACCTTTAAATTCAATTTATTAAAAAGTAGGGCTTTTATTCTTAACAGATTCCCAATAAGGCATGTTTGATAACATTTCCATTTTCTTCCTTCTTAAATAATAATCAAGAAGAGACTTGTTAGGATCAGATAACAAAACACACACACGCACTTGCGCACTCTCCAACATGCCCGTTGGCATCAGGCTGTAACCAGCCACACCAGCACTTAATTTCTAAGTCACAGATCCCAATCTGAATCTAGTGAGAAATGTCCTGGGGTTATACGGGACATAATTTTCTTACAAGAAAAATATGACCAAAAGTGAACATCTAAACCTTTTGGTTCCCTTTATTTATACCATTGATAAAGGCAAGTACGGTGTCAAGCATTTAAATGGTACTCCCTACCGTGCCTGTGGCAATGCCCTAAATACCCTCAAACCTGGGGTGTAGTTCACTGTCTTCCACCCGATAGACAGTGTGAGTTGGGGAGAAGCTGTCTCCTCCACCAGGACAGCTCTCCAGGCCTGCTCTCCTCACCCAGCTCCCTGTCCCCTCCTTCCTGGCTCCATCCGCACGTCTTGCTCAATGGAGAGGACAGCAAACATGTGCGACTGGACGGCTGGCTCCCTGTCGACACTCTCCCTCCCTGCAAACCTACTGCTTCCTGGGAAGGCGGGGAGGCAGGGGAAGAGAGGATGTCCCCATGTTTGAAGAAAACAAACAGAAAGCTGACCAACACATTTTGAGAGAGAGCTTTCTCATTCAGTCTAAACGTTCAGAGCCCAGACTAAGGCAAACAGCTTGAAATAGGAAACATCATGACATATATAAATAATTCTGCTTGTTGGAGAGTTTCAGAGTCTTACCAGCAGTCAGGAAAACAAGCTGTGGACAGGCGTTATACAATTTGGCAGGTGGGGGTGTTTAATGGAAATGAAATCTTTCTTTACTAAATAAATATGGCACTTCCTGTTCAGTTGGCGCCTGGAGTTATTTGAACTGATGTCACTAAAACAGAATTACTAAGAATTGCGCTAATGGCAAACATTACAGTATGACAGGTCACATCCTAGGAACAAGATCACAACAGGGAACCAGCAGGCTGCATCCTTCACTGGACATTCGCATTAGAGCATAAAGGGAGGCTCCTCTGCCCCAGGCAGGGAGGAGGCTCAAAGTCCCTGCCCTTCACTCTGCCAGGCCTCAGTTTCTCTGCCTGGAAAATGAGACTGTCATATCAAAGACCCACAGTCCTAAGAGTATTCCTCCCTGCACTGACTTTCTGGCGATCAAGGATCCGTGAAAGCAAGCACACCAAGAGATCTTCCAGAGCACCTGAGGCACAAGAGCAGGGATGGCCAGAGTGGCTGTTACCAAAGTCACGTGATTTCATTTACTGCTCAGTCCAGTAAGGACTCAGGAACCATTATCATACCCATACAAGGTCTGATGATGCCTCTCAACCAGCAGAAAATTCATGTTGGAGACTGAAAAGTAAATTACCCAGCCCTCAGGAACTCACGTTCACCGCTAGAGGAAATGCCAGCTGCAACGACCTCTTTGGAAAACACAGTGGCATCGTCTAAAGAATAGGAAGAAACTAACGTCTTCTGACTGAGCAATCTCACTCCCACACCTAAACCCTACTGAGGACTGTGCTGTGTGCGCCAGGAAACACACCCCCAAAGGTAAAACGGTCAAAAATAGACGTCAGCTTCATGTCCATCAACAATAGAACAAACTGCAGTGTAATCATACACTAGTATTCTAACAACAATAAAAGTGAATTATAGACTCACATAGAAGAAACTAAGAAATATCATGTGGAGGACAGGAAGTCACAAAAGAATACAGAGAATATTTTTCAATTAATATGAATTTAAAAAAACAAACACTAAACCATGTTATTTGGGGTACATAGGTGGTAAAGCTATAAAGAAAAGCAAGCAAATGGTAACTATAAAGTCAGCATAACACCTGAGGGGGGGAAGGGAACGTGATGGGGAGAGAACGAAAGGTGATGGTACTTCCGGGGGGTTAATGGTATCTGTCCCTGTCTCCCTCTCTCCCTCTCTCTCACCTCTCTCTCGCTCTCACTCACTCTCAGACACACACACACACACCCTGAGTTGCAGTCAAGGCCCTCCTCAGAACAATTAAGACAGAATTTCTGGGGTGGGGCCCAAGCATCAATCTTTTCTAAAGATTCCCAAGTGATTCTAATGCGAAGTCAAGGTTGAGATCTGCTACTTTAAATAATTAAGTGGTTACCAAAATACATACTTATGCCTCCTTCTTATACCACTGTCTTCCCAATCAGCTCTTAAGATGTACTAGCTAAAACATATCATCAGTGAACCAGAACAACAACAAAATAATGTTTGTGACTTTTACAAGTTATTTTTAATCCTCATTACTTGCTGCTAAACCAAGATACAGCCTTAAACATTGAGCAAAATATCAGAGCTAGATCATGATGGAGACAATAATCCAGAAGCAAATGATATTTTTAAACACAAGTTTTCAGAAGTACTACTTTGCAGGGTTTAGCAATGTTTCATAACTACTGAGTAGAGCCACTGAAATGTATTCAACACTGTAAATTTATTAATAACTAAGTTTTTTAATTCACATAAACCTAATTCATTAAAATAAGTTCTACTCTGATTTCCAAAGCCACATATATATTCACGGAGGTCTCAATTTGTGCATCTAAGTCATTCAGTAGTGAGTGAAACCACTACTATATGCCAGGTCCCA